AGCGCTTTGAGAGAGCTGAAGAGAGATCGAGATTCGAGAGAGATTTAAGCGAGATTAAGAGAGATTTAAGAGAGATTAAGAGAGATTTGAGAGAGATTAAGAGAAATTGAGAGAGAATGAGAGTTTTTAGGTGAGGAAAATGGTTGGGGGGAGGGGGGGTATTTATAGGAAAAATTTTGGGTTGAAAAAAAAAAAAATTCCCCCAAAAATTCGGGTCCAACGGCTACTATATTTTCGGGCAGTTCGGGCAAAATTCTGTAGGTCGGGCAACGGTAAGAAATCCGACCGTTGGGTTCAAATTTTTGGGCAAAATTCGGGTTCGGGTCGGGTTTAGGCAAAAAGACCCATTTTTGTTCAAAATTCGGGCATTTTTCGGGCTAACGGTAAAAAAAAATCGGGCATTTTTCGGGCAATGATCACAAAAAATTGAGCAACGGTCAAAAAAATTTGGACAGTTCGGGCAAAATTCGGGCAACTTCGGGTATTGCCGGAAAATTCAAAAAAATTTCGGCGAATGGCGGGGGACGACTTCTCCACGGCAGCGGGCTGTCGGGGGGATTAATATTTTCGGGCTACCCGAGCCCGTGCCCAAAAAACACCATGGTCAGGCGGCGAGAGGGCCCTGCCCGCCGTGCCCGAAAATTTTCGGGCACCGGGCATGCCCGCCGCCCGAAGTTGCAACACTGGAAGTCTCATATGATTTGGATAGGGAGGTCAACAAAATTACTGTTTTATCTTCCTCATCAATTTTGACATCTACACTTAACAATTGAGTTATGCACTTATTAAAATAAATATATGAACCCTAAAATCACTTTCCATGTCCATCTTCAACTCATATAATTGCTTCTTCAAGTATAATCTATTTGTTAGGGATTTTGACATATAAAATTTTTCTAATTTTTTCCACAACTCAGAAGGAGATGTCTAATTCATAACATATATTTCAGTTCATGAGTTAAATTTAAATGAATAGTGTTACTGCTTTCGCTTACAATTCTTCTCCATTTTCATCTTTCATATTTTCTGGCTTTTTTCCTTGCAACGCTTTCAGTAATCCCTACTGAATCAAAACATCTTTGACCGTACTCTGCCAGATGTTGAAATTACTCTTTCCATCAAACCACTCAATCTGCTCAAACTTTATCCTGAACATCATTTTGACTTTTTTTTAATCTTCACCGCAGCTCTGATATCAGTTATTGGGGAAGAACACACTTCTACACCCACACAGCAGAAAAATAAACTAAAACAAAAATAACAGAAAAATAGAGAAGACAAAGATTTAGTTGGTTCAGAAAAATTTGCTACGTCCACAGAAGAGCGAGAAAAATTCACTAGCAGTTTTAAGAATTGTACACACAATAAACTTTCTTACTCTCTCTACTCAAAATCCCTCACACTCTTTGTCTATCTCTCTCATCACTTTCTCTCGC